ATAAAGAATCCCAACTAGAAAAACATTAATTAGGTAAAACCCAAAATGAGAAGATTAAGGAACAGAACATTGCAAAGCATATAGTCAAACCAGCTTTCCTCAATTGCTCTTTCGTGGACTGTTTAAACAATGAAGAAAGAGTTCAATGGGCTGACCAACAACTAAGCTTAAGAACTGAATTTAGCTTCTTTGCGTAGAAACAAAAGGTTTTATGGTTTCTTGCGGTGGCTCAAGATTGCCACCTGCTGGACGCATGCAGTAACATTCCTGAATATGGAATGTGTCCACAAACATTTTTTTTTCTTTTTATTAACTTTTATTTATAAAACTCCAACAAATTCCAGAGCACTGTGTAATTTGAGTGTAGGGACAGATGAATGCAGTACAATATCTTCACAAATACTGAAACTCATGTATTTTTTTTCTCCTATTGTTTCCTCTTCTCATCCTCTTTTACAATCTGTTCTTATTTTCTTATTTTCTGATCTATTTCTCTTTAAAACAGTCCCTATTTTGTCTTATGTATTTTTTCCACACTTGACAAATGTGACAAAAGTGTGGAACTAAACAACTTTAGCTTGTGTGAAGAGGGTGTCCTCTTTCTTTCATTTTGCAAAAAGTGCACATTTCAATAAAAATTTACACTTTTATGCATTAACCTGGTTACACCCCCTTGGTTTTAAAGCAGACAACATGTGATGTTACTTCCTGAATTTGTTAGCTCAATGTAGCTGACCTCAAGAGGCAGCAATTTCCCAGAGCGACTTACAAAGACTTCTCATCGAGCTGTATTGGGAAGTATCTGATTGGACAGCCACTGAAAGTCTCAGCGGTCTTCGAAGGGGAGAGCTTGCAAAGGCAGCAGACAAGAGAACTACAGGTTCTTTTTTTTTGCAAACTGATTTTAGATATAACCCCAATGAAAAAATAAATAATTAAATGCATGCAAGTTTTCATTTGGGTTATATCTACTAAACTGTGATTTGTATTTATTGTGTATTTGGGCAGTGGAGTATCCCTTTAACCAAGGTCACCTTCCTTTGTCAGAAATTTCTTCCACAATACTCAACTTTTTTACCTTTCTCCTCCGTTGTCTCACAAGATCTTTATGCATCATTTCTACTGATAGTAGACTTGGGCTGTTCGTCCATTCATCCAAAAGACAAATGAAAATGAATTGCTCATTGAATTCAATTTTCGTCCGTGCAATTTGTTTTTTCTTTCATTTGTTTCAGTTACTGACTCGCAGCTTCCTCCTTGTAATATTTTTAAATATAAGCATCGGGGAGCTGTGCTCAACACCACTTCCTAAATTCCCCCAAGCACTCCCCTCACCCTAAACTGCAAGCAACCAGTGACCAATGACTGGGCCGCAATAGCCCCATGGGGCAGCACCTAATGAAATAATTAAGTAGGGGGTACATAGTGTCTCTACCCCATGCTCCACAAGTGGAGGCTATTAAACTAAAGTGAATGATAAAAATTATAATTGTACCCCTTTTTATAAAAGGTATTAAGACTTACTTTACAGATTAAATTAAGAAATAAGACAGAGTGAATCAAGCTAAGTAAATAAAATTGCACATTATTTATACATTATTTGAGGAATACGTTATTCTGGAGTGATGGAGGTTATGTATAAGATCCAACTCCGTGGCGAAATTCTAGCCCCTCCAGCCCCCACCCATGGCCATAGATGGGGGCTGTTAAAAAAAAAAAGAATGACACTACACGCTACCTGTCTTGGCACAGGACACAAACCACCTCTGTCACACTAGGTGGCCTAACATAGCCATAACAACCGTACGCTAGAGGGAAAGCCCTACCCACACAAAGGTTTTTAGGACCTACGAGTCCAACTAGAAAGTTTCTTAAGACTATTTGATGACTTGCATGTCACCATGGTTGTTCACTATAACTATCTCATGTCTGAGACGTGAAATGAAAAAGCCTTTATTGGACCTGCGTGTCCGCGATACTGTTTATACATAAAATGGAAATTCTTTGAATAAAAGAAATTTACAAAAAAAAAAAAAAAAGAATGGAGGGACACAATGTCCACCAAATCCAAGCAATTGGCGGCAGGTGTCGGCTCAAAATAATACATTTTTTTTGGGGGGGAGATCTATTGTCACCCCCAAGCCGCCACCCATAGAGGTGGGTGGGGTCATAAATAATAAAGTGGGGGTGGGCCTATTTCCCCTGCAGCCCCCACCCATTGGCAGCAGATGGGGGCTAAGAATAAAAATGATTTCCCTAAATCTCAAGCAATCTTTCAACATGTGTTTAAATAAAAAGTTCTTCACTCTTAAATAATTAAACAGTTCTGAGGTTGGCAGCTGATAAACCTTTGCAAATACTGAAAACTGTCTAATTACAGATTTGTCTACTAGTTGCCAAATATGTGTAATCCCACATTGTCTCAACTTCTTCAAATTTATATAAATTATAATATAATTTAAAAGGTCTAGAGGGAGAAAGGCAGGAACTTTATCTTGCAGATCTGGAGATTTCTTAAAATCCTGAATCAGGCTTTCAGAATTTGGTGCAGAATCATATTTAGACGATCGGGTTGTTTATATGTCCAAAGCATCAAGCAACGTATAACAGATCTTTTGCTTTTACATACACTTTCTCTATCTCATACAAGCCCTCATTGTCAGTTAGCTTTGCTTGTACACTTGAGCCATAACATTAGCCTGATAAATGCATCTAATATTAGGAGAGCTGAGACCACCGTCCGATTTATTGATAAATAACTTATGCATTCTCTAAATCTCTTTCCCTTCCACATCCAATTTGAGAAACTAGTCTGTACCAAATCTAGCCATTTATCTGAAACAAAAAGAGGGAGCATATAGAACAAATAAGAACATCTAGGGATAATACACAAATTGATTGCATTGATTTGACCCCACCATGATATTTCAGTGGGTCTATTCTTTTCATAACTGGTTTGTCTGCTTCAGCAGTTTTATATAATGAGTTGCCATAATTAATCGCTCTCGTAAGACTTATCCAAAGGTACAAAAAATTATTCTTCACCCAAAGTCGTACCTCTATTCTATTCTATTCTGGACTCAAGTTAGAGTCTAGAACAGAAATTTTATGAATATTGATCTTGTAGTTTGATACCTTAACAAAAATTGGCAAATTCATTCATGAAAGGAGGCAAAGAGTTTACCGATCTGCTATCGTTTTTAGAATTTTGTCTGCTTAAACATTTATTTCTAACTCCCTATGATTTATTGGGAAACCTTTGACATTAAATTTGTTCCTAACAATGATAGTTAGAGGTACAAAGGATCTCCCCTGTCTGCCCGATACATGGTTGTGTGGCCCCCAGGCAAGTGCCCAGCGTGCTCATGAGGAAAGACGACCCTGCCCAAATTTCTGCTCTGACTGGTTCTCCCTAAAATAGTGGATAGATAAAATAGTGGAAAGTGGACACCCTGGTCTAGTTCAGTTGCTTAGGGAGAACAAGTCAGAGCAGAAATTTTGGCCTCCAATACAAGCAGTGGGCAGGGCCGTCTTTCCTCATGAGCAAGCTGGGTACTTGCCTGGGGGCCATACAACCATGTACTGGACAGTACACTCACCTTGCGGGAGAAGTATAGTCAGCACTAAAGAGCACTACTCACCACTGAACAACCAGGGCTGGCAGTGTCCCTCCTTCCTTCACCGAAGGTAAGAAGAACGGTGGAGGGGGAGCATGAAGCTTTTTCAAAATTTTAAATAAAAATAACAAAATACTAAAATCCCTTATCCCTATGAACCTCCTCCCTCACACACACCCAGCACTTCTCACACACGGCACCCATCACACACACAGCACCTCGCACACACACAGCACTCCTCACATACAGAGTACCCCTCAGTCACGTACACAGCACTCCTCACACATAGCACCTATAACACACACACAGCATCCCTCACACATACACATAGTATCCCTCACTTACACACTAAAAACTCCTCACACACACATATTGCACTTCTCACACACACACACTGCACCCCTCACACACACACACTGCACCCCTCACACACACACAGCACCCCTCACACACACAGCACTCCTCACACATACTGAGCCCCTCACGCACATACAGCACCCCTCACACACACACACACACAGCACTTCTCACACACACTGAACTCTTCACATACACTGCACTCCTCACAAACATACTGCACCCCTCAAGCACACACTGCACCCCTAACACACAGACCGCACTCTCACACACACACTGCACCCCTCACACATACAGCAACATATACATACACACACACACTACACCCTTCACACACACGCAAACTGCAACCCCTCACATACACACAGCACCCTCACACACACAGCACCCCTCACTGCTGTCTGTCTGTGTATATTCAGCAGTCTGTGTTTGTGTTCTGTAGTCTGTGTGTGTGTTCAGCAGTCTGTGTGTATTCAGCGGTTTGTGTTTGTATTCAGCAGTCTGTGCATGTATTTAGCAGCCTGTGTATGCATTTAGCAGTCTCTGTGTGTACTAAGCAGTCTGTCTGTATTCAGCAGTCTGTGCTGTGTATTCATCAATATGTATTCAGCAGCCTGTGTGTGTATTCATCAATATGTATGTGTATTCAGCAGTCTGTGTTTGTATTAATCAGTCTGTGTATGCATTTGGCAGTCTCTGTGTGTACTCAGCAGTCTGTCTGTATTCAGCAATCTGTGTGTGTGTATTCAGCAATATGTGTGTGTGTATTCAGCAGCCTGTGTGTATTCAGCAGCCTGTGTGTTTTTTCTGTCAAACGTATTTGGACAAAATAAAAAAGGTTAACTGTGCACAAAGAGCAAGAATGGGATTAAGACTCCATTGCATGCTTGGGCAGAAGAAGGGAGTTACCTCATGCCACCGTCAGTACTTGAAGATGGCGACACCGCAAAAAAGGATCTGACGCCACAAAGATTAGTAAAATAATAGATATAGGGAGGGGATTTTGGTGCAAAGAAATATGAAATGGGGAAAAAAAGTTTATTTGTGAGTCGTTTTAACCTTGCCAATAACTTTTCTTATTTCTTTCAAACAATGTATAAATCAAAATCAGTCTTTCTTACAAAATAAAATACAAAAATAAATCCAGGTCTAACAAAACTGAATTCAACAAGTTTAAAAACATATATTTACATATTTCATATTACCATCCAAAAAGTGAATTATTGTCATAATATTTAGTGCATACATTGTTTAAATTAAAATATTTTGGCTATATAATAATTGGTATCACTTTAAGACAAATATTCCATATCTACAAAGTATATATGTAATTTTCAGAAGTCATGGAAATTAAACATGTATGTCCCAGGCACGAAGCCATTACACATTTTGTGTCATATTTTTGCTAGGGGTTTCTCTGCTTAACAATAAATTGTGGAAAATGTGGGAGCTGAATATTACATGTATTAAATTGAAATGAATACATTAGGATAGAAATGTAGTTCCGTTTAATTTTTTACCAAGTTTTTTTACCTATATTTGTCAAGGTAGATATTCAGTTCACCACAATCCAATGTTTAGAGAATAATCCCTTTAAGAGAGGAATTTTACAATGTAAGAGTGCAATTTTAAGCCCTCTCAACATGGGAGGTATAGGGTCAAGGATAGAGAGGTGGGCAGGCTACCAGGAGTGGACGTCTGCTAAGGTTGAGGTGGAGCTGCCCTATAAAGGTGCTGGTCCCCCAGTCTCACATAGATATATGAGTGCTGTTGAAGAGTTCCCAGCATGGGTTGAATGCCCTATATTTATCTAGCACTCAGCAAGAGCATTTAATAATTTGCTGATTCCAAAGACAAACAAACCTGGGATGGCAGGACAGATCCTCAAATTCAGGACAGTCCCACAGACTGTGACAATTGGTGAGGTGTGATCTGGTGTAAACTGCATATTATTCCATAATAGTTTGCGATTTTTTTAGGGAACTTTTTATATTATTAATGAGTTATTTAGAGAAGCAGTAATGAATAAAAAAAATAAAAAACATACCTCTTTTTAAGTGGCCATGTGATATTATTTTTAAAATGTTAGGGACACAAGACAATTAAAGGTGCTTGGAAGGGCATTAGACATTTTTGTTTTTTTGTACATGTTTAATTTAATTTAATTTTTGTTTAATTATTTTCTATTCCTCACATTCATGTATATGCCAAAACTAATGAATTGACGGAATAGGTTTAGTTAAGGAATAGTCTACTTTAGAACCTCATATGCATACTCAACATATGTCATAATTAAGTCATAGACAGAAATCTATTTAAGTAGCCTTGCTATTGCTCAACATTGTTCTAAATAGATGAGAAAGAATTTACCTTGGAGCGTTTCACTCCAGTTATACACAGTCCATGAATTTCTGTAAAACATTTTTCTGTTGTCTCTAGAATTATGGGGTATGTTTATAAAATAGTCGCCAGTAGATAAATGGCGCAGATCTTTAAGTATAGCAAACTCCATTTAAACCAATAAAGTTAGCGGGATCATTCCATTGGTTTCTTTGGTGACTGATCCATGTTTAGAAATCTCCACCACTTTTCTTTAGCCCTTCTATAAAACTGCTTCAATATATCTCTAAAGTTGTCAAGATCGATCTCTTTTTTTCTTCTTTCTGTTACCTTTTTTTTCTCTTTCCTTTTCTCTTACAACTTTTTCTGTGATTACAACTTCATTAATCTTTCTTGCATTTGGTAAAACATTCCCTAAATCCATTCCCTCATTTATGTCTGTAGGCATTTTTAGATGTCGAACAACATGCTTGGGTTTGGATTCAAAATCTTTCTGAGCATGAAATTCAGGAGCCGGTATAGGCATAAAAGGCATGCGTGGTGTTAGGAATGGCAAGTATTGATAGTTGCCATGCTGAGCCTGAGGAATTGAACTGTAGTTCATCATACCCATTGGGATGTCTTGGCGGCGGCTAATTATTTTAGGTTTTGGTTCAGGTGGAACATCGACAAAATAAGGTTTTATCCCTGTAATGACATGTATCATGTGTGCATTGTAACTGTCTGTAGATGCCCGGATCGGAAGAACAGGTTGGTATAAGGATGTTGCTGGAGCTTCTTTCACAAAATTATACAGAATGGTTTGCCAAATCCCATTGCTTATTGGGTTTAACGTCACTCTTGGCCAAAAACCAGCAAGGCTCTTTAAAGCCTCACGATTCCAAACAGATGAAAAATTGTCCTCGTTCACATGATATAACTGAGAAAAATAAATATCCAGGCGTATCTGTGGATGTTTGATTAGAAAATCATGCATTTTGCTGGTACAGCAATGAGCATATTCATTGCACGGTGTGTAATTTGTATACAGTGTTATGTAACCAATAGACTCATGGTGGTAGAGAAAGGAGTCTACATAACCGTGCTCCTCGAACAACATGGATTCTGCATGAATGTTAGAACTGACGCAGTTTGTAACTTGACCTTTTTGTAAGACCTCTCCGGAAAAAGCCTTAACTTCATAAAATATCAGCTGCTTATTTTCAGGCATTGTGGGCCCATATGGGAATCCAAAAGCTTCATAGAACTCTCCATATGTTACTCTGGATTCTTCCCCAGTCCGTATATGATAAGGACACTTCAAACAATATTGATTGTGATAAAGCCAGTAGTAAGGTTTAATTAATGTTCCATGATATCCAGAGAATTCTTGAAAAAAATATTCCATCTGCAAAAGAGATAGTACATTTCTAAATGTGGTTTTCCTACAATTTATAAACACAATCCTACCATACAATACAACATTACACTACACATTTTTATATATATATACACAGACGGTATACGGTATATATTATGATAATTTCTTGAAAAAGTATCAATTTATTCAGCACATCCTTTAAATAAATGTCTGAACAATATATATTATTAAAGGGTTAGTACAAGCACCATGACCACTTGAGTGATTGGAAGTGGTCATGGTGCCTGAAACCTGTACTTGCAGTGCTTCATTGTGATACACTGTAAAATACTATTGTGATACGCTGTACATACTGAGTTAAACCCCTTTTCTGTTGAAAGTGGAACTCCACCTCAGCATCAGGGAGCTTCACCAGCCAGCCAGGAAGAAGAGGTCCGGCTGGCTAATGTCAATTCTGTGCAAATGTCGTAGCACAGACACTCATTAATTTGCTAAGAGCAGTCAGCTGACGTTCTCAGCCAGTGAATTTGCAGCAGGATCGACATCTGACTTGATTTGTCAAAATTCTGCAACTCTGAATCACTGTTTGGCCAAAACCTGAAACAAATGAAAAAAAATGTAATGGGTAAGCTATTTTGTTCTTTTCATGAGGGAGAGTTCTAACAGATTCATTTTCACACCATTTCCTTTATTTTGGTGACTATCAATATTAAGCAGAAATATATGTGCACATGTCCCACAATTGTAGACTGCTAGTAAAAACAATATAATTTTGATGTCTCTGCTGAATTTAGATTGATCAGATTTTTAAACAATCCCTGGATTATATTTTTTTGTAATTGCCAATAATTCTTCTCACAGGTTGCAAGGGGACCCCAAACCCTTAGCCAACCACATTAAAACAAGCAAACCCTACCCATCCCATGACCATAATAATAGTGAGTGGGGGCCAATAAATCTAATTCCTGTAAAATAAAAAAAAATATACAGTTACCTTCAGAAACTTCTGCCCCCCCCCCCCTCCAAAATAAAATTAATTCACAGAAAAAAAAAGGCAGAAAAAAATGACTCCAACAAAAAATAGATCCCTTGTTGTCCCTTGAGGATTCTGCGCAGAATAAGCTTTTAAGGTTTTCCCATGCTTTGAATTCTCAGAGTGCTCTGATTGGTTGGCTTGTCTGACTGGCAAGTCTCCCTCTATTTCAATGGGGTGGGTGTGGCCAAGGGCTTGGGGACCCCTAGCAATCTCGGAGAGAATTTTGGGCAATTTTGAGGGGGGATGTGGACAATGGTACCTTCACCATCCTCTTATATTTAATTAGAGACACTAGTTCCCCCCTTGTTTGTTAATTAGAGACACCCCCATTACCTATGTGTGGAGGCTGAGGGAAACTAGGTCATACCTAGAATTATGATTAGAACCCACATGTGCTGCCTATGGATTGGGGCTGGAGGACAATAGGTCCCCTCTGTATGATAAGTAGCCCCCACCTGCTTAACATGGGTGGGGGCAGGCAAGGGACATTAGGATGTTGCTGTGTTTTTATTCATTTAATAAACCCATCTACTGGCCATGGGTGGGGAAAGGGGCCTTTCTAGTGACTGAACAGCAATGGCTCCCCTATCACTAGTTCTTTTTTGTTTTTTTTACATTGAGCAGTCAGTGGCTACTCATTGTTTAGTAGATATGCCTACACGCACAGCATGGCAGGTGTGGGTACAAGGACAGTTTATAACATGGGGATCATATAAAGTTTTAATATTTATATATTTTTATTAATTTAATTTGGCAGCTGGCTACAAATTTCTCAACAGAATACTGTAGTACACCTATACAATCCAGACATTTCACCAAACACCTGCCCTATTTAAAGCAGGTTTTATTTACTAAATTGCTGATATGCAGGAAAAATTGTTATCCAAATGTCAAAAAAAAATTGCTAATTTGGAAAAGTTTATAGTCATAGCTTGGCTTTTTTATCCTAGATTTTGCTTCTTAGACTTTTATTCGCTACAATTTGAGATTTGGTGAATAAATGGCAAATATCTACACTTTACCTACTCATTTAAATGGTGAATTGAAATACATAGTGTAACATATAGTGAAATATATTAATTGCATAGCTCTTAGTTCACTGACACCTACTGAACGCCATCACCTTCAGACAATACAAAGTGCAGCAGCCAGATGACTGACCTATCAAACTCGCTCCTGCCATATAACACCTTTTCTCCACTCCCTGCATTGGCTTCCAATTGAATGGCGAACATATTTTAAAATTGGCCTGCTAACCATCAAAACCTTAAACAATCAATGCCCTTAGTACCTGAAAGAGATCCTGACACCCTATATTCCATCTCGTTCACTTCGGTCAGCCAGCAAATCCCTTCTGCCAGTGCCAAGAATAAAGACAAACTCAGGTTCCAGGGCATTCAGCCACGCTGCCCCAACCTTCTGGAACTCCTTATCGTGCTCAATCAGAGAGGCACCATCCTTAAAGGACCACTATAGTGCCAGGGAAACAGTTGTTTTCCTGGCACTATAGTGCCCTGAGGGGGCCCCCACCCTCAGGGTCCCCCTCCCGCCAGGCTCTAGGGTGAGGAAGGGGTTAAACTTACCTCTTTCTCCAGCGCCGGGCGGGGAGCTCTCCTCCTCCTCTCCTCCTCTTTGGCTGAATGCGCATGCGCAGCAGGAGCTGCGCGCATTCAGCCAGTCCATAGGAAAGCATTCACAATGCTTTCCTATGGACGCTGGCATCTTCTCACTGTGAAAATCACAGTGAGAAGCGCTGAAGTGCCTCTAGCGGCTGTCAATGAGACAGCCACTAGAGGCTGGATTAACCCATTTATAAACATAGCAGTTTCTCTGAAACTGCTATGTTTATAGAAAAAAAGGGTTAAACCTAGCTGGACCAGGCACCCAGATCACCTTATTAAGCTGAAGTGGTCTGGGTGCCTATAGTGGTCCTTTAAAGAATTTTTTTTATTTTTTTTAAAAAGACCCACCTCTTCCATCAGGCATTCAGTCTGCTCATCTGGCAATGAGAAACTCCTAATTTATATCTTTATGTTTGTATATATGGAGAGTTCTTTGAGTCTCACAGGCAGGGACGGATTAACATAGGGGCTGATGGAGCTACAGCTCCGGGCCCAGGCCCAGGCCTATTTAAAAAAATATATATTTATTTATTTATTTATTTTTTACACACACACACACACACACACTACTCTTAGGTTTGCTACCTGACTGGTATTTTAAGGCACAGCCGGTATTTGAGGCTGCCTGGCCGTGATGGGGTCACTGTGTATGGAGAGTTGCAGGGATAGGAAGTTACAGCATATGAGGGATGAGGGGAAAGGCATCAGGGAGACATGGGGACACTGAGACACATGGTGACACAGACACTAGGGAACACTGGGAGACATGGGGACACTGAGACACTAGGGGACACTGTGAGACATGGGGACACTGAGACACATGGGGACGCTGTGAGATGTAGGTAGACACATTGGGACACGGAGACACTAGGAACACAGTGTCCCCATGCCTCCCAGTGTCCCCATGCCTCCCAGCCAGTGTCCCAGTGTCCCCATGGCTACCAGTGTCCCCAAATGTCTGCGTCCCCATGTCTCCCAGTGTCCCCAAATGTCTGTGTCCCCATGTCACCCAGTGTCCACATGTCTCCCAGCCAGTGTCTGTGTCCCCATGTCTCCCAGTGTCCCTATGTCTCCCAGTCAGTGTCCCTAGTGTCCCCATGTGTCTGCATCCTCATGTCTCTGTGTCCCTAGTGTCTGTGACCCCAATTCTCCCAGTGTCCCCAAATGTCTGTGTTCCCAAGTGTCTCCAAGTGTCCCCATGTCTGTATCCACAAGTGCCCTCATGTCTCCCAGTGTCCCCAAGTGTGTCAGTGCCCCCATGTCTTTCAGTGTCCCTGTGTCTCTGTGTCCCCATGTCTCCCAGTGTCTGCGTCCCCATGTCTGTGTCCCTAGTGTCTGTGACCCTATTTCTCCCAGTGTCCCCAAATGTCTGTGTCCCCATGTCTCCATGTCTCTCAGTGTCCCATGTCTGTATCTACAAGTCCCCTTATGTCTCCCAATGTCCCCAAGTGTCTCAGTGCCCCCATGTCTCTCTGTTTCCCCGTGTCTATGTGTCCCCTAGTATTCTAGTGACACGGGACACACTGAGACATGGGGACACTGGGAGAAATGGGGACACAGACACTGGGAGACTAGAGGACTGGGCGACATGGGGACACTGACACTGTGATGCATAGGGACACTGATGCCAGGCTGGCCTTCCAATTCTTTGGACAGACATACCCCCTTTTTGGGCATGTTTGCCCCTTTTGGCAGTTCTGGTCATGTGATTTGCATCAGTGGCCTACTCTTTTACCCTGCCAATTAGCTTCCTGCTTCACTGGACACTGCTGTTGGTATGGATTTACTTGAAAGATGAAAGCATAAATTAGATAAAGAGATTAGCATAGAGTATGTGTTTTTTTATGGCTGCATCCTTTTCCCTCCAACACCAACTCCATCAGATACATGACGCTTGAGAGGTATGACTGTTTTAGTGTTTTTGGTCGATAAGATTCTGTAATTAGGCCCCATTATAATTGTCAGCACCAGGCCCACTGGGCTCTTAATCTGGCCCTGCTCACAGGGAGAAAAGCGCTATAAAAATTGCAAATTATTATTATTATATTATTGTTATTTAGCTTATCACTAGAGGTTCACATAGGGTTTATCTGAGGCATGGAATCAAATGTTCCACCTCTATGTTTCTTGGCCGTATGGGCAACTGATTACTTGTAACTTGTGACCCAGCGATAACATAGGTTCTTAGAATATATCTCTCTCCGATATCGAACGTGTCGGATTATTTGTTTCCCACCATATTCTTCAAGAAACCAATCTCACATCTGTTGGTTCAACCAAACAGCTACAGCAATATTTTTCTGTAAGTGGTGGGAACATCCAACCAGAACCATTCACAGTTTATGTAAGAGCTTGCAAAAATACTCCTATTAAAGGTTTGGTGCAATGGTAAATTGCCACAAAAAAAAAATCATATTACCTCTTTTTTATTGGAGTAGCCAATATTATTTTAATAATGATTGGTTCGGCTTGAAATTCCCAGTCTTTCTGGTCTGATGTAAAGACTTCGGCTCTTCCCCATTTGCTTCAAAAATACTGATGTATACATTGCCCTATCTTCTGGGAGTTGTAGTTCAGATGCTTTACTATTTTCTTTTTCATAATTTTTCATTGGTGCTTTGGAGTTTTATTGCTAGCGTTCTCCAATATAAGGTTGACACTGGGGGGGAAAAAAGTGCTATAGCAAGTTACGTGAGAATCACAGTTGGCTAAATCACTTCCTGGTTTCTTGAAAGCTCACAAAGCAAAAACTACAAAGCCTGGGAATGTGACTGTATTTTTTATTAAGTGTTCTGGCATAGCAAGACCACTTAATGTTATCTCACATATATATTATTATTCTTATTATAGCCAAATTTACCACCCTAACTTCTCCCACAGTTTTTACACTACATAGACAGAAATATACCAAAACGTGCGGATTGTTGCCGATCGGATTGCTATTACTTTGTGGAACGTTACGCCAAATGGTTCACAGAATATTGTCGTTCTTGTGGCAAAATTGGTCCCATAGGAATGAATGACAAAATGGTCAAAACTAAAGTGGGAGCTGACAAAAGCTGAAAAATCAGGACATGATTTCTAAACTGCCACCACTCCCTCATTTTCAAGCCCACCTATACAAATCTTATATCTAAATGTTCAGCTATCCCTGCTGCCACTAAACATGTCCACGGCTAAGCCATAGTCCTGATAGTTTACACAATATGACCATTTGTTTTCAACTCACGCCGTCCATTGACATTCATTGAAACTCCACTCCAGCCAGCTTAAATTTGAAGGGCAATTTGTAAACTGCGACTGTGCCTTCATTTTTAATACTTCAGAGACATACTATGCATCAAAATGTAGGTCTGGGTCTTGTAATTCTCACAATATAAAGCTCTTTGCTGTAGGATGTATTAGTTTTTAAAATACGACCATTTGAAGATGGCAACCGCCAAAATACTCTGACCTGTGCCAGGCTGGAGCAGCAAGTGATGTCATAGATAGGGCCTTTTGTACACCTGCTAATGTTTTTTTATAAATGTATGTTTTAATGTAACTGTGAAGCACTTTGGGCAACAACATTGCAATTAAATGTGCTATATAAATAAATAACAGTTACTCCGCCCACTCCAGTTGTAGACTACTGGTGGAGGCAAGAACACTTCACACAATTTCCCCAGAAATTGTAGCTTTTCTAGTTCTGAATAATGTTTAATTAATTGTTTTGAAAAGCAGCCCTAATACAATCTTTTCTTTAAGACAGTGGTTCTTAAAGGGACACTCCAGGCACCCAGACCACTTCTGCCCATTGGAGTGGTTTGGTTGCCAACTCCCACTACCCTTAACCCTGCAAGTGTAATTATTGCAGTTTTCATAAACTGCAATAATTACCTAGCAGGGTTAAGTCCTCTGATAGACAGCCACTAGAGGGACTTCCGTGTTCTTAGAACACGAAAAGTGTGTTATACGATGCTGGACGTCCTCAAGCTATGTGAAGACCTCCAGTGTCGCCGAAATCCCCATAGGAAAGCATTGAATAATGCTTTCCTATGGGGAGGTCTAGTGCACGTGCGCAGCCATTGCCGCACATGCGTATTAGGTCTCCTCCACCGGCTGATGTGGGCGGGGGAGGAGAGTAAGCAGGGCCTGACTGCGCCTAATGGACATCGGCGCTGGACTCCAGCAAGTCACTGAAGGGTATTTAACCCCTTCAGCAACTTGGGACTGGGGGTCGGAAGGAGAGGGGCACTGCAGGGTCCTGCAGTGCCAAGAAAACTAATATGTTTTCCTGGCACTGGAGAATCCCTTTAAGCTTTTTATGGAAAGGACCCAAATTACACACATATTGCAATAACTCGGTAACTCATTTTTAAACTGTAATATAACAAAATTAATTCTTTAAAGCACCTATATTAAATTATTTTCAGTGTCAGACGTGTCGGTGGGCAAGGTACTGCTGCTACAGTTGCAGAAATGTTTCACCAAAACAAATCAATAAAAATAAAGTCATGAAAAATCTTCAGAGTTCCCTAATCTACTATATGCTGGGAGGGAGCTGCAAGGGGCGGTTGACAAATGTGGTTTATTAACTAAACAGTACATTATAAAGCATCGAAATACCAGCTGAAAATTGAAAGGAAAATAGTATATTTGAACATAATCTCCAATTCAGTTATAGTTACAGCTTTGTTGTTTTAGCTGGAATTTGGCAGTTCAACATTCAATTCATTACATGTTGGTGTTTAATGTGTCTCCCTCCCCAGCTCCTCGCCAGACATATCAGGAGTGAAAAAAAATGAAATTTAAATACATTGATGGTAACTGTGAATCATTAACCGTTTCATTGACCACCTCACGTTTACCTTTATTCTATACATTGCAGTACACACCTTCCTCTCATTTATACTTAAGAAATGTAATCTCACCATAGCCTTCTGGGCTAAAAATTCCCATTTCATTTATTCTAATATTCTGAAAAATAATATAAATCGCCTCATTTAACTCTTACTTACCAGCAGTGTCTGAGATGTTACTGTGCAGGAAATGTTTGGTACTAAGATATTGTCAGTGGAACAGCTCTGATAAGGTATGAATACAAATTGGTTGCTAAGTCATTTGTCTATAGTGGCCTGAGGAGTGGCTCAATTATTTTACACCTTATCATTTGTTACTACAACATTCCACAGGCGTGTAACCTAATACTGAAATTAAAGCGACAGAGGATTGCTTACTTAGAATAATTTAAATGAAAACTATAGGGAATTATATTTGTAAACACAATGCTAAAAATAAAAATATTAAACATTTTTAAAACATTTACTTTCATCAAAGTGTCATGTAGTTGCATAGTTTAACCCCCTAAGGACCAAACTTCTGGAATAAAAGGGAATCATGACATGTCACACATGTCATGTGTCCTTAAGGGGTTAAAGATACTGCCTGCAGCTACAAACAGATCAGACAGACCCTCTCACACACTTCCAGAAATAGATGGCAATCAGGGGGGTCTCATTGCCATTAACCCCTTTCCTGCACCGATATATCGAAGGATACTAAGGAGGTATCTCTTTATTTTTTGTAGTATTTTAATGCAATATATATTATATATATAAATAATTATTATAATATAATGTAAATATATAATAAATGGTATATAAATATATAATAAATGGGGGAGCTCTACCTTATAGTTACCTTTTAAAGTAGAGTATCCATATTATGCAAAAAGCTTAATCACAGCATGTAAGTAAGTTTTTTAAAAAAAAATTTACTTCTTTAATAATTATGACAATAGGGGGCACTGCTGATCTGAAGAATAACTCCATTAAATATCCTCATTGGGAATACATAAGCTTGGTTCATTATTCGCTGTAAAATATTCAACAGGTTGTACAGATAATCATTACAGTGGCATATTACAGGAGCAATCACTGATCTAGAGCCCCTAAATGACTAGACATTAGTGTTAAAGTGCCTCCTACAGAGACAGAATCTGTGTAATTAGATCATTTGTAGGATTTCTGATTTAAGATCATTTAAATGCATAATCCACAGTTTAATTATTTTAACCATTGTAACCAGGGCTGCCATCATAAATTTTGGGGACCCTGTCAAAGCTCAAGATCTGGGCCCCCGGGGCCCACCCCCGAATCTGCTCACAGGCAGTGTGTTTGTGTATAGTAAATTCAGAGTGTGTGTTTGTCGCGTGTGTAGTGTGAATGCAGTGTGTGTTTGTGTAGGGATGCAGTGTGAGTTTGTGTAGGGATGCAGTGTGAGTTTGTGTAGGCATGTAATGTGTATAGAATGAATGCATAGTGTATGTTTGTGTAGGGATGTAGTGTGTGTATATAATAAATGCATAGTGTTTACAGTGTGTAAAGTGGAGGTAGTGTGTGTATACTGACTACATAGTGTGTGTGTGTGTTTGTATTATGAATGCATAGTGTGTGTTTGTGTAGTGGATGTAGTGTGTAAAGTGGAGGTAGTGTGTGTATAGTGACTGCATAGTGTGTGTGTGTGTGTATGTGTGAGTGTATTATGAATGCATAGTGTGTGTTTGTGCATATAATGAATGCATAGTGTGTGTTTGTGTAGGTATGTAGTGTATGTAAAATAGGAGCTGCAGTTAGTGGGGGAGAGCACTTTTTTTGTTTTTTAAACACCTGTTAAACATTCTCGCATTCTCTGGTGGTCCAGTGGCCAGTCGCTGTTCACTACAATGCGGGCCCGCAGCACACTCCAGCTTCCCTTCCCAGCAGCTACTCTGCCTGTAACTCTCGCGAGAGCGGCCTGCGTGCTGTGCGGCGTGTTTCCATGGTAATAGTGGCAACACTCTGAAGGCCACAGTGCTCACGAGTGTTAGACACACAGGTGCTGCTGGGAAGGCAAGCTGGAGTATGCTGCAGACCGCCACTGCAGTGAATTGGAGCCGCAGTGCAGTGAAAATCACTATATATACAGTATCTCACAAAAGTGAGTACACCCCTCACAATTTTGTAAATATTTTATTATATCTTTTCATGTGACAACACTAAAGAAATTACACTCTGTTACAGTGTAAAGTAGTAAGTGTACAGCCTGTATAACAGTGTAAATTTGCTGCCCCCTTTAAAATAACTCAACACACAGCCATTAATGTCTAAACCGTTGGCAACAGAAGTGAGTACACCCCTAAGTGAAAATGTCCAATTTGGGCCCAAATAGCCATTTTCCCTCCTCGATGTCATGTGACTTGTTAGTATTACAAGGTTTCAGGTGTGAATGGGGAGCAGATGTGTTAAATTTGGTGCTATCGCTCTCACACTCTCTCATACTGGTCACTGGAAGTTCAATATGGCACCTTATGGCAAAGAACTCTCTGAGGATCTGAAAAAAAGAATTGTTGCTCTACATAAAGATGTCCTAGGTTATAAAAAGATTGCCAAGACTCTGAAACTGAGCTGCAGCATGGACAAGACCATACAGCAGTTTCACAGGACAGGTTCCACTCAGAAAAGGCCTCGCCAAAATCGACCAAAAAAGTTGAATGCACATGCTCAGCGTCATATCCAGAGGTTGTCTTTGGGAAATAGACGTATGAGTGCTGCCAGCATTGCTGCAGAGGTTGAAGGGGTCGGGGGTCAGCCTGTCAGTGCTCAGACCATACGCTGCACATTTGAATATTGAATGCACATGCTCAGCGTCATATCCAGAGGTTGTCTTTGGGAAATAGACGTATGAGTGCTGCCAGCATTGCTGCAGAGGTTGAAGGGGTCGGGGGTCAGCCTGTCAGTGCTCAGACCATACGCTGCACATTTGGTCTGCATGGCTGTCGTCCCAGAAGGAAGTCTCTTCTAAAGATGATGCACAAGAAAGCCCGCAAACAGTTTACTGAAGACAAGCAGACTAAGGACATGGATTACTGGAACCATGTCCTGTGGTCCAATAAGACCAAGATAAACGTATTTGGTTCAGATGGTGTCAAGCGTGTGTGGCGGCAACCAGGTGAGGAGTACAAAGACAAGTGTGTCTTGCCTACAGTCAAGCATGGTGGTGGGAGTGTCATGGTCTGGGCCTGCATGAATGCTGATGGCTCTAGGGAGCTACAGTTCATTGAGTGAACCATGAATGCCAACATGTACTGTGACATACTGAAGCAAAGCATGATCCCCTCCCTTCAGAGACTGGGCCGCAGGGCAGTATTCCAACTTGATAACGACCCCAAACACACCTCCAAGATGACCATTGCCTTGCTAAAGAAGCTGAAGATAAAGGTGATCGACGGGCCAAGCATGTCTTCAAACCTAAGCCCTATTGAGCATCTGTGGGGCATCCTCAAATAGCAGGTGGGGGAGTGCAAGGTCTCTTACATCCATCAGCTCCATGATGTCATCATGGAGGAGTGGAAGAGGACTCCAGTGGCAACCTGTGGACCTCTGGTGAACTCCATGCCCATGAGGGTTAAGGCAGTGCTGGAAAATAAGGGTGGCCACACAAAATATTGACACTTTGGGCCTAATTTGGACATTTCCACTTAGGGGTGTACTCACTTTTGTTGTCAACGGTTTAGACATTAATGGCTGTGTGTTGAGTTATTTTAAAGGGACAGCAAATTTACACTGTTATATAGGCTGTACACTTACTACTTCACATTGTAGCAGAGTGTAATTTTTTCAGTGTTGTCACATGAAGAGATATAATAAAATATTTATAAAAATGTGAGGGGTGTACTCACTTTTGTGAGATACTGTATATGCACCGCCCTGATGGCGGCCCTGATTGTAACTCATAACAGGTTTACTGCCCAAATCGCTCCTCTGTTCCAATCAGAACAACACCATGCTACCTCTGAATGTATCTCAACCATATACTATTCATGACTCATTTCCATTTAGGCTTTTTACTTTTGTGGTGTGTTTACATTCTTGTGTCTTACACATCCAGGAAAAACAATACAGTGTGAACAATACATTATTTACAGCAAAGTAATCACTAGACTTCCTGTTACCAACACCTGAACAAATCGATCCTACTAGGATTTACCTGTATTATTATTATCGCCATTTATATAGCGCCAACAGATAGGACAATTACAAGAAAACGTACAGGAACGATAGGTTGAAGAGGACCCTTCTCAAACAAGCTTACAGTCTGTAGGAGGTGCGTTATAAGACACATTAGGACTGGAAATAGCATTCAAATTAGGTGGGAGTGAAGCAGAGCTGGAGGAGAGAGTAAAGTGCTGCCCTTTAGGAGAGAGCAAGAGACAGGTATTTGAGGTAGAGGTTAGTCTGGGAGGCCATAAGCTTTCCTGAAGAGATGGGTTTTAAGGCACATAAAAGATTAAAGACTATGGGAGAGTATGATGGCGGTAGGCAGGCTATTTCTTAGGAAGGGAGCCGCCCGTGAGAAGTCCTGCAAGCGTGCGTTGGCCTTACGGGTGCGAGCAGCGAACAGGAGAAGGTCACGGGCAGAGCGGAGAGACAGAGAAGGGATCTGTGAATCTGTGAAAAGTTATAAGAGGGGCTAGATTGTTCAGTGCTTTATAGGTATGGGTTAACACTTTGAATTGACTCCTTTAGGATACAGGAAGCCAATGTAAGGACTGACAGAGGGGTGAGGTGTGAGAGGACTGACTAGAAAATCAGTCTGGCGGCAGCAATCATTACACACTGTAGAGGGGCAATATGGCTTTTGGGAAGACCAATCAGGAGAGGGTTACAATAATCCATGTGGGAAATTACTAGAGCGTGTACAAGCTCCTTGGTAGCATCTTGCATAAGAAAGGCACGGATGCAGGCTATGTTTTTAAGATACCTGTAGAGTCTTATTCAATATAAGACTCCACAGCTAAATCCCGAACAGACCAATTTTTCAGGCGTGGGTTAAATGGCATTTTGATTTGACAAAACTCAAATCTAGTAATCACGCTAAAACACTATGCTTTAATTATTGCTCAATTTAGAGATTAGATTGTGAAGTTGGATTTATCGCCTTTAATATATATTATATATATATTTTTTTTTTATTTTTTTATTTTTTTTTACAGTTTTAGTTTATAATGCCTCCGATACTTATTAAATAAA